TAATTTAATTGCAAGTCATCTTATTCTATCTGACCTTGTATTAGGATGTTGGGTCTGGTTGTAATAAAATTACATGACTCACTAACCAAAAAACTAGCTGACCACTCATTTTAACAGTTCTATTTAAAAATTGTACTTTACAAGCATTTTCCTGATGTATAGTATTTAGAAAAAGCTATTCTACAAAACCATAGGACAAAAAAAGATAAGAAATCTTCAAATCTCTAACAGTCTGAAGATAACCCTGACATCATATGAAAAGTATTTGGATCTGATATGGATTTTTTTTCTTTATTTCTTTTCTCTCTATAATCTGACCAATTTAGAATTTGTCTTATGCTGTAACCAAATTCCCTCTTTTTAAAAGAAAACAAAATGTGAAATATTTTTCTTTTGTATTGGATGACTGCTGTACAAGCATGTTGGTGATGGTCAGATTGATGGGTCAGCAAGGATTAGAATGCCTGGCTGTCAAGGAGACTTGATGATCTGAACAGAAGCTGATTGTAGAAGACAAATATTTTTACTGATGCAGGCATTACTGAATAGGAGTTTTATAAATCAAAAGCTATAGGAAGATGAAAGACAAGCAGCTCCTCCACAGTTTATACTTTATTTAAATGTTAACCAAACATTAGTTAAATGTTACTTACAAGCTGTATCCTTTGAGTTAACTTGTATAGACAACAATGCAACAACATGCAGCAAACACCTGCATTTAATCTTTTGAAATGATTTACAAACACTGTAAATGTTGTTCTCGTCTTTGCAACATTTCAACTACGGTGTTTCCCTTTTCTAGATTTCATAAAATCTCTCAAATGTTCCGTTCCAATACAATGTAATTTACATTTATATAGTGTCTTTGACATCACGAGGATGTCTCAAAGCACTTTACACTGCTTGGGACTGCTTCCAGAGCCTTGGAATGTCCTCCCGACATGAAAGGCACAATATAAATGCAAGTTGCTGTTGTTGCTGCCTGATGACTTGATCTGGGGGAGGGGGTTTGTGCTGAAGAGGGAGGGGCGGGGAAAGATTACCAAAAGCACAGTCAAAGAGGCAATTCAAGGTTGGTTTTGAAGATTGGGAGGGAATGAGTCAGGGACTCCAGGATGGAGTTTCAGAGAGCAAGGGCAGAATGTTTGAAAGTTCGCTCACCAAAGGTATAGTGGATAGAATGTGGGACATGAAGTAGGCCAGTGTTCATTAAGTGAAGGGAGCAGCGAGGCTGAATGGGGTTGTGGAAGGTTACAGAAGTAGTGTGGGGTGAGGCCATAGAGGGATTTGAAAGTGAGAATGGGAACCTTGAATTTAAGACGTTGGGATCTGAACAAAGATGGGGGTGCCTTGTGGAGCCTGATGTGGGAGAGGACATGGCAGAGTTCCAGATAGACTGCAGTTTGTTTAGGGAAGTGCGGGGAGTCCAACAATCAGTGCTAGAATAAAGTGTAGACGTGATGAGGGTATGAATAAGGGAATTGACAGCCCAGAGGAGAGGTGATGACAGAGGTGGGCAATGTTGCGGAGGTGAGGGAAAGCTAAACAAACAAGAGGGCCTTTGAAAGAAAGTTTGGGGATCAAGATTGTCTGTTGTAGAGAATTGACTTTATTCCAACATAACATTACCAAACACAACCGCATGGAGCCAGCTCTGTTCTTCCTTCTCCCCCCACCCCCCACCCCCATACCTGGAAAGATAGTTTAGACATTTGAAACCTGACGATCTTTTACTTGATGAATAGCAGGGCAGGTACCAGAAATTCCCTGCAAGCTTCTTGATGAGCAGCACAGCTCAGCATGAAATATGTCCTCTTGCCCACAGTTCAGATGCATATTCTTACACATTGAGCGATGGTTCCACTAGTTGGAGATGTATAGTTGAGCAGCAGCTACTTAACTCTCTGTATACCAATCAGGGTGGATACAGAGCGTTTGATCTATGAGCATGTGTTTCCAAACTCAGACTTCAGATTACGCCTTCCAGCAGCAGCTGTCATCCCAAGCATTAGAAGTTATTAGTTACACAGCAGTCATTGTAGAGATTTAGTATCTGGCACCTTTCCACACCTCGATTGTGAATGCCATTATTTAGCTTAATTATTATATTTTATTATATTATATTAGTAGTATATGACTACCATGAAAAGGATGAGCATAGGCATATAAGCCAGAGTCTCTACTTTTGGAGTGGATTCTCCTGATTAACTAATTCTGTGTTTGTGCAGATCGGCGCTCACATAACTAAATACATTTTGTACAAATATATTGTGTGTCGGTGTGTGTGCCTGTGGGGGTGGGGGGGGGGGGGTGGGGTGGGGAATAGGAAGAATCCATCCTAAAGTTTAAACCTACTTGTTTTCATTAAAAGAGGCACTCGCATGCCCAAATGATAGTGAGGGGAACAATTTTACTAACCAAGCATTAGAAATCCTTCTTTAAAATCCCCAAGGCACAGTCTTTTTAAATTTAATCAACTTATTTTTCATTTGAAAAGTGGGTCATTGTAAAATGACAAAAATAATAAATAGTTTAAAAATTATTGAGGGGTGGGGGAGAAAGAGAAGAACAGAACATCTCGGAGATGATTTATCCTTTTTTGAAAACCTGTCCTGGGCCCAACTAGGATATATTGTCTTGATGGTCATTTTGATTACTGCTGGATTACAACTGATACCTAAAAACTAGCCATTGATGTCTGGCAAGCTTTCTCACTGCTTGTTCAGTTAGGACAATCCTATCCTTTAGGGCTTCAGCCTGCAGGGTTAACAGGAGCTGAGTGGGAGGATTCCTGACCAGTCATCGAGGACACGTATACATGGAATACTGTATGAATATTTCACTTTACCAATCCACAGACTAGAAGAAACACTTAGAGACTGAAGAAACATTAAACCTGCAGATGTAGAAAACTGCAAGCAGCAAAGATTGAATTACAATTGATGGCTGCATTAACTTATTAATAAAAATCAAAGGCTACTTTCTTTTGGACTTTTTAAAGACACTACAGATGGGGAAAATCCATTAACAGCTATATAGGACACAAAATCAATCTGCATAATACTACAGTGACACACAATATGTGTTTTCCAGAGGACAGAATTTTTCACAACTTTTAAGTCCTACGTTTTAAAACTACCATTTCAAATCTCTCCTTAGAAAGTAAACACTATGTACTCAATGGCATACTCCTTCTACAGGTGCAATTTGAGAGTAATATTGTCAGCAGTTTTGAACTGTTGGTAAACACAAGTTAACATCACCATTGTGTCTTAATAATTGAAGAAAACTTGAAACGTAAAACTATTAAGACTTTTTATAATCTTCTATTTGATATAACGCCTTATCACATCTTTGAGATGTCTCATGGCACTTCACAGGATATTGTGGGTGAAATGCAGAAGCCAATTGCACACAACAGTGACCCACAAACAGTTTTGGAATTGAGAGACCAAATTATTATTATTTTTTTGAAGGGATTATTACACGAATGATCAGCCAATGGACTCACACCCTGACTCCTACTTATTGCTGGGTAAATGAGAGACGTGTGGAGTAAGGGACCGTACTTAATGTTTCTCCCTGTTGTCAAACTAAAACGGTCTAGATTTGAGTTGTTGTCAAATCAAGAATATTGGAGTTGTGATTTCTTCACTCGTGGATTATCTGCAGCACACAGCAACCACATGTGATATTCCCTCCATCACACCCGAGATATTAAAGTGGTTACAAATAGACTTAATGGCCAGACTTACTGAATGACAGAATTGTTCTACGTAGAATGTTTTTNGCAACTGATCTATTTACACCAAAGATTGCAAATACAAATTCCCGGAACTCTCTAACGTAATGCATTGGAGTGCAAAATTAAATTACGTAAGTTTTATAAGGCAGAACTAGCAGAAGCGCCCCGACAGACTGACATCTGCTCCACATGCAATATACAGTGTAAACCTGTAACGCACGAATTTAAAACGTTGTGTTCAATACGAGTGACGAATAGTCCGTTCGATTGGCCGCCACACGAATTACAAGCATTAAACCTAGAGAAACACTTGCAAAATATAGGCTCAGGAACACAACAGGTGTACAGCACAGTGAGCGACTGCAAACGCATCGGTGTAAAGCGACTGTAACCGTGACCCGTATTGTGTGGTGTAAACTGCGATCGATTGCAGTCGGAGGCCTCGTTTCGCCGTAACAAAACGAGTGGTTCGTGTACACTCCCCGTTGGACGTGACTGCAATATTATAATAGGCGTCGTGATGTTGGCTAAAATGTGTGCGTTTGCGTCTCAAGTCCGTGACATTATTTGGTGTCGGTCCATTTGACGGGTCCACCTGACACGTGAAAGTTCCCCATCAATGGGGCAATTCTCCACCACACTACACCGTGACCTGTACTCCTGCAGAGTGGCAGAATCCCTGTTCCCAGACTGAGATCTGTGCACTTGAGATTCCTGCGAAAAGCAAACAATTGGTGTCCCCGCGAAGACTGATGTGTTTTTTTTTATTGTGTCAATCCGGGGCAGGATCGGCATTCTCCTGTCTCCACCCTTTTCCTCCAATCTGTTTACACCTACTGTACACCAAATGGATTCGGTGCTTCCCCGACTGATGCAACATTCCCAATTTAAAATTAGGCCACGCATTTGTAGGCGTTGATCTCAGTGGAGTTTTTTTTTAAAAAAATTAAATTAAAATAAAAAAAACACCCAACGAATCTACCGTCAATTACTAACCATTTTTTTTTAAAAAAAAAGAGAGAGAGAGAGAGAGAATGAGATGGATTCCACCCTTCTTCTCCCCCGGAGAGAAAATAAAAATCCCGCTGCAACGTTGCTTTGCGCTGTGGTTATCTTTTTGAAATGCATTAAAGGGGCCAAAAATTGGGAGAGAAATTGATAGGGGTCCAAGTGGCTCACCCTTTGTGTATGTATACCTCACCCCCCACCCGCTATGATTTACACACCTGCACACTGATTTCATTCAGTCACTCACCAGTTCTCCTGCATCCATTCCATGGCTCCCCTTTCATCGAACTGCTTCTCAAACTCGTATTCCTGCAGCGCGATCACTGACATGTTCATCCCTCTGTCCTTTGGGTTTCCTCCTCTGGATACACAATACAGTGTATCACAGTGCAAACACACGCGCACACACACACGCGCGCACACACACACACGCACACGCACACACACACACACACACGCGCGCGCGCACAGGGTGAAAGGTAATAAAACAGAGCAGCACAGGAGCGCTTTTGGAAAGTGCGGCGATGACTTTGAGGCGCGCGCTGTAAAGGACAGAGCGGCTCCGCTGAGTGGCGTCTCCGTCTCCAGGCGCGTAACCGGGTCGTCGGGAGCTCAGCCCGGATCGCAACTACCACTCTCTGCCCTCAGAGAGGGGGGTGGGGTGGGGGGGGGGGGGGGTGTCGTTGTTTAATGCTCGTCACCGCAACGGGCTGCGCGGACAGGGTCCCTCGGGTATTACTGCTGCGACGCCTTTTTTTTTTGCAATGCTGCGGGTGGGTTTGCGGGTATCAGACCTCTGTATCCCGTTTGTTTCCGGGGCTTCCGTTCCCCCCGTGATATCTGGAAGAGTGGGATGAGACGCGGAGTTGCCTGACAGGTGCTGGAGGCGCAGGCGCACAGAGACGCGATGTTCCTGTGCTGCTTGAGCGAGTCGCCCAGTTACTACAGTCTCGGGCAGCGGGACAGCCGGCGATCACACGTGAGTTTTTGTGCCACTGGGACGACAGGGATGTCCATGACAGCGACGCGGGAGATCGACCAAATGAAACTGGTCTGAGATCCGTCAAAGCCGGTTGCTTTGGTGCAGAGATTTTGCTGCGTTTAAAACAAAACCTTTGGGAAGCAGTGCTCCCACTCACACTGACAGCTCAACAGTACACAAACTCAAGGCAATTGCCAAGAAATGAGATCCGAGGAGAGAATGAGGAGTGAGTGAATCAATGCTAACAGAGTGGACTGTGTTTTCTCAGAATCTGATGCGAGGAAACAGGTTATTTGTCTCCGGGCCCTGATACAACATGTTTGGCATTATTTGGCGCTTAAATATCTCACATTCTGCAGCAAACTATTTCAATCTTGCACGTCCTTCAGGTTTTTAAGGTTATACTGTACAATCGAATGCATCCGTTGCAAAAAAAAAAACCGACTAGAATATGGACATCTTAAAATAAGGGCCACTTCACAATCCTCGGGTTGGGATTTCTGCGGGTGATGCATTCATGATCTTCGAGGGTCCATTCCCTTAGAGTTCGGAAGGCAAATGACATTTTAGAATATTTGAACACAAATCAAAGCAGAAACATTGACCTACAGGAGAACCTTCACATTACTTAGCAATGAAGGCGCAGTAAGTACATTGGTGGCTCCAACACACTGACCCATTTGATGCACTGATAACTATGTCACGTCACTGTTGCGCGTCAAACCTGTGCCTATGAATAACCCAAAGTCTTGACTGTAACTGGAGGAGGAGTTGGATGGAGCTTTGCAACTTTGGAAGGAGAGGAAATAAATCATTTGGATTTCTTTTTTTAAAAAATTGCCAAATCAAATAACTGTGTTCGCGGTGACACGAATGCAGTAGAATTTAGATGTTCCGGAACCTGTTATCTGCCTTTCGATTATCCACATCACGGGGAAGGCAGGTGATAGGATCAGCTCTTGCCTCCCACTCGGCTGCTCCGAGTAAGTAGTTTTGCTTTCAATAATTTCGGTTGTTTGTTTCACAAGAATTCCAACGCTTGAATACCTGTTGATGTTCTTGTTTAACGTTTCATGGAGGTGGGGGTACGAGTGATCATCTCTGTTCCAACGATCCAACAAATGCCTCTCATTTGCCAATGTGCACCGACTGTACCAGCTCTAAATCAGCAATGAACCCAGTGTAAGTTGGTTGGTCGCTCCTACTCGTCTGCTAGTGGCCGGTCCCAACATGGCACTCACATACTGTTTGTTTGGAAAACCTGGAGGGGAGAAATAAATAATTCAGGCACCATCAATTAATATAGACATCGTGGAGCAATAACTCTGCGTATGGAAACAGTCATGTTTCCCTCTGCACTAATGGTGTACAAATTCCATATATCATCAATGTCAACACATCAGCTAAAAAGTATGAGTAAAAATGAAGAATTTTGGCGCAGTCTGAAACGTGATGTAACTGTGTTATTAGGATCAGCAGATTTGACTTAATTGTGTCATTTTTATTGATTTTTTTTGCTGATTTTTAGTACTCGCACAGCAATCATTTTGTTAGAGGGATACTTTAGCCAGACTGCCCTGCTCAATTTTACTGATATAAAAAGCACTGAATTTCTAAAGCCCGTTTGTACATCAGATATAATCCTTGCATTTGATATAGCGCTTTTCACGTCGGGAGGACGTCCCATAGATATAGAATTACAGACACTTTTGGGTCAACACTCTTGTAAGAAATTTGTCATGCCTTATCTTTGAAAAATGCCAATTTCACTTGTGTTAGAATTTTGTTCTTAAAATGTATTTCTCTTTCTGTGTTTGAGGTGGAAGGAAGACTTAAAATATTTTCACTTTTCTATGCAGCCAACTCCCATTTTTCCACAATGGGTTAGATTTCCCTCCTTCATCTTTTGCTGACAAACTTGATTTTCCAGCGTTAACTTGCTAACAGGCAAAGGTCATTTGGACCAGTAGGTATGTGCTCGCTTTTTTTTAAAAAAAAGAGCAATCCATTGAGTTGCACTCACCTGTCTTTCTCGCTGCCCCCCGCAGGTCATTCTTGTTTAGATATCTATGTTGTTCTCTCTTGAAAGCTAACACGGATTATGCTCATTGCATATTATGCATATTTGCTGTCTGAGAAAGTCAGCCTCCGTCAGTGACTTTCGGAAATTCACCACCAGGTGGAAGTACAGTGTATTTTTAGGAAGATTGAGATCAGGAACTCGGCGCGCAAAGGAACTTGTAATTTCACCACCCACTGTGCCGAAAAAAAAACAGTCACTCGCTTTTTAAAGAAATCTATTTCGTAAAAGCGAATTGAGGATGGAGCTCTGTTAAGTTTTGCGAACGCTCTGATCTTTGATCTCTCGAGTTTAAAACTATTTCTCTGTGATTTCGATCAAACGTTTTCTTTCCGTTCTCCACGATTCGATTATGTGAAAAGAATTCCACAGGGGGGCGCCCCGACTGCATTACAAGCTGCAGTACTGCAAGAGGAAACAGTCTGTTTAGTCTTTTTTTATTTGCAAATGATGAGTAGATGCAAGTCTAATGAACGCTGCTATTGAGTTGTACTCATTTATATCTCTCCCAGTTATTTTCTTCGAGGCGTTTAAGGTTTCACATTCTGTACAAGGGGACAGGGAGCAGGTGGCTGCTCTGAAGACTCAACCAATAACCAGTAGCTTTCAGGAACCAGGCAGCAGCTGTGCATCTTTTTTTTTCACCCTTCCTGTGGAGAAGCGCATTGCCTCCACCTGGCACTTTCCAAAAGAGTCTCAAACTTGCTGTGTAGGGCATGACAAGTGTAACCTGTACTTCACCTGTCCATCACTCGATTCCACACTGGCTACAGTGCACGTAATTACGACAGAGATTCAAAATATGGACAATAATTAAAGATACAGCTCCCCAAAGAGTGGCAAATAATCTCATTCAGCAGCAAAGAAAAACAGCAAGGGATCGGGTTGCTGTTGAATTTACAACTAAAAAAAATGAGATGGGAATAAAATAATCAATGCCTACAAGTACATAGAAATATAAATGTTATCCATGTGTAAAAACTAATCTCTGCACAATTATAATTTTTTGAGAATGTGTAGAAAAATATTCAATGTTTAATTTCCCATGTGTGTTTTTTTAAACATGCATCAAATTCTTCATATTACGAATTTAGGTGTAATTTGTAATGGAAATTTGTAACACTTAACATGAACGTGCAAGGTGAATTCTCTTTGGCCTTTGGATTCAGAGAAAGAGCAAATGCATGATAAGGAAGAGGATGTTTTGTTAGTTGAGATAGTTAATTATTGGCATGAAAGAGGGTGCTCCTGAGAGAAAGTGGACACACCTAATGTTTGAAGAAATAGAGCAATCACAGCTATTACCTTATGAGACATTTGTTTTACTTTTCAGAGTAGACCGGCTTTCTGAACTGGATGAGATAATGTTTCAAATGCATTGCTTCTTACTTGCCACTTTTAGTTTCATCAACACATAGTCTCGAAACATGCCCAGTCTCTACTGAAAGAAAATTACTGGCACTGACAGATTTACTGGTACGAACAGTTTTTCTGAATCTGTGAAATCATGTGAGCATCATGTAATCCTCACCTCCTCTCAAATTGTGCAGCAATCCTGCAGATAAATCAATCTTCAGTTTTACTTTTCTACTGCTGCCAACAAACCTGGCACTTACTCCTGCTCTCCCTTTGGAGGAAAACCTCAAAACATCTTGTCTGCTTTAGAATTAGCAAATGCAATTTTCAAGTGTAGATCAAGAATCTTAAGACTTTGTGTAAAGTTATTTGAAGTTTTCTTTTAGTTCCAAGTTACTGTTTCTTTATTGTGTCAACTTACTGCATCTTTAAAATATTCTTAAATTTAACTTGGATTTAATTAAAATTGACCTCTGAGTATCTGAAGGAATCAATATTTCCAGAGAGAATTATTGGAGGCATCAAATATAGATGCATTTTAGATATTTAAGAAAATAAGACTGCCCAGTAATTACTTTCAAGAAACGCGTTTCTATGATTTAAGGATAATTCAAGTAAACATTTGAATATGGCTTATCGCCAAATATGGAGAAATATCAAGGATGTGGATGCGCTTTGGGAGGACATTTAAAGGATTAAAGAGCATGTTTTGATTTCAAAGAACAAAGATGCTGAATTTACTTGGCAGTACTTGTTTACTGTACCCTCAGAACAAAATGAGACTTTGTAACAAAACTTGACTGGACATAACTTGTATCTATATCTGAATTTGTTTGCCTTTTAATTTACATAAATGACACTAGCTTAACAACAAATCAATAAAACCTAGTTATTTATAAATACAAAACCTTTTGTTAATTTTGTTTGTTATGTTTGCCTCTTTGTTATGCTTTCTTATGGGGTTCGCAACTGTTGCGTAGTACTTGTATTTTAAATACAATAACATTTTAAAACAGATACACTCATCAGAGAAATACAGATATTCATCCAACAAGCTTTTCCAGTACTGCCATCATCAGGAATTTTGTTGAGCTTTTTTTTATATGCAGTATGTTTTCCCGGATTTGCTTCACAAAATAGGATCACCCTACTTTTAAGTGTGGTTTGTGGTGTGGTTGGTTGGAGACATTCTCCTGAGGTGAAAGGAGCTAAATCAAATGGAAGGATTATTAATAATGTTAATCATATGTCACGCTCAGTCTGATTTTACCCCCTTCCCCTTAGTAGTTGCTGTCTTGGCTGAAATCACGAAGCATACAGTCAATTTTTGCCTACAAAATATACATAAAACACAAGAAATGCCAGACAAAAAAAACAAGACCAAGGTCCATCTGGTTCGCCTTCCACCTTCCTGGCAGTCGCATGCACATGTCCCGAACTATCTCTGTATTATTATCCCATAATATTATTCTCTAAAAGAAAACTATCTAATCTGCGTTTGGAGGAATCAACACTTCCTGCTTGAACTGTCTCACCAGGAATCCTGTTCCATAATAATAATAATCATAATAATAATCCTTGCATTTGATATAGCGCTTTTCACGTCGGGAGGACGGCCCAAAGCGCTTCACAGAACACACTGCAAAGTGAATTGACTGTATATTTGTGGGCGAACGCGGCAGCCAATTGCGCACAGCAATGTCCCACAGACAGTCGTAGATTGAAAATGACCAATTTATTATTGTTTTTGGTTTTTGGAGGGATTATTATTAGGCTCTGTGTGGAGTAAGGAAACTTGCCCAAGGTTTCGCCCTGACCTGCCTGGAATTGAACGCAGGTCTCTTCGCTTGCAAAGCGAGTGCTCTAACCACTGAGCTACAGGACTCCAATTCACTGCGTCGCTCCTCATAGTCCAGTCCCTCAATCCCAATTCCGGTGGCCCTCCTCTGCATTCCTCTCGATTTCTCCCGAATCCTTTTATTCTGCACGGCGGCGGCGGCAGCGGCGGCCAGAACCGCACGCGGTACTTGCCCCCAAGTCCGGTCTCTCCAGCCGTTTTACACGGTGGCGGGATTACCCCACGATTTCTGCTCGCTGTTCGGATCTCTCGTTACCCCCCCCACCCCGCCCCCCAATATCCGGTTGGCTTTCACTCACTGCCACGGACAGTCGGCGTGGCCGCGGCTCGATCGGGCGCCGCGCCAAGTGCGAGGGTTACTGTGATCAGGTGAAAACCTGCCATACAGCCAACGCTGTGCCTTCGTTTCGTTTCGGTTTGTTTCGCGGCTGTCGGGCGGGACGGTGCGTACCCCCACACACACACACACACCCCCCACCCCCCTCCCGAGTTCCCTGTCTCGTGCTCTCTGGTTGTGCCGTTGACAGACCGCCCCACTCCCCGCCCCGCCCACAAATTTTAAAACCGAGGCACGTGCGCACGTCGGCGCGCGATGTCAACCGTTTTTTTTGGAGAGAGAGAGAGAGAGAGACAGAGAGAGAGCGCGAGCGAGCGAGCGACCCGCCCACCCACCCAGGCCTCGTCTTTCAGCAGTGCGCACGCGTAGCCCAGACTCCACCCATTTCCCCTCCCTCCTCCCAATCAGGCTCACGCGCACCGAGGACGGTGCGTGCGTGCGTGCGTCACCGGACGTTGAGCCCCAGAACGTTGAGCGAGCGAGAGAGAAAAAAAAACCCGAGACGACGACGGCCGCTCGCAGCTCAGCTCAGCCAACGGCCACCGGGAAAGGGAGGGGGAAATGGGGCCGACTTTCGGCTCCTGCCGTCGGTGCGGGCGATTCCCCGGGCTCGCGGATCATTTCGCCGGACGTCGCAGATAACATTAGGGGGTTGGACAGCTGGTGGTGCCCGTGGCGTTGGCATTGGCGAGGGGAGGGGAGGGGAGGCTCCGTCAGAAAATAAGAAAAGGCTGTGGGATTGCAGAGGTGAGTTAAGCGGCGGCTGCGCGGCGCCGGGCTCGGGTACACACACACGGCCCCCCAGGGCTCGGGCTCGGGTACACACACACGGCCCCCCCAGGGCCGGGCTCGGGTACACACACACGGCCCCCCCAGGGCTCGGGCTCGGGTACACACACACGGCCCCCCAGGGCCCGGCTCGGGTACACACACACGGCCCCCAGGGCCCGGCTCGGGTACACACACACGGCCCCCCAGGGCCGGGCTCGGGTACACACACACGGCCCCCCAGGGCTGGGCTCGGGTACACACACACGGCCCCCCAGGGCCCGGCTCGGGTACACACACACGGCCCCCCAGGGCCGGGCTCGGGTACACACACACGGCCCCCCAGGGCCCGGCTCGGGTACACACACACGGCCCCCCAGGGCCGGGCTCGGGTACACACACACGGCCCCCCAGGGCCGGGCTCGGGTACACACACACGGCTCTCGGGCTCGGGTACACACACGGCCCCCCAGGGCCGGGCTCGGGCTCGGGTTCACACACTCAGGCTGTCGGGGCCGGGCACCGGCCGATTGTTTCCTCTGAAATACTTGAGAACAGACTTGGACGAGCTGTCGTCAAGCGGTGCCTCTGCCCCGTTTGCTTGTGTTGAGCGGAGCTTTTCTGGTGGAGGCGGTACTGCTGCTGACCAGAGTCCCAGCAGCTGATTGGAATCCATCCTGCGTGTCCTGTCTGTGTGGGACACTGGGTACCTATCTCTCTCTCTGTCTCGTCAGTGTGGGAGAGACTATTTTCTGTGTCTGTGAGAGAGAGAGGCACTGCCTCCCTCTTCTTCTGGGACTGCGCCTGTGCATATGTGTTTTTTTAAAAAAGAGTGCGCCTCTCTGTGTGTGACAAAAACTGCCTTCTCTGTCTGCGTGTGAGTGTGAGCACATCTAACTGCGTGTCAGAACGACTGTTCACCTCTCTAACCGTGAGAAAGAGCCTCTCCCGGTGTGAAAGGAAGTGTGAATGCGTGTGCGCGCAATAAATGCAATTTGTTTTTGTAGAGTGCGTGTGGATGTGTGGGGTGCACCTCGATGCGTCTGTGTGTCGTGATTGCCTGGCTGTCTAACTGAGATTCTGTCTAGACTTTGTTGGAGACTGAGAAAATCTATATTTGTCTGTCTCCCTTTGAGTGTGTGTGGGCTCAGCACGTTCATATTCTGTAAGTGCACAACTGTATGTGAACTTGAACTTGTATTGGCCTTTTTGCTTCTGCACATCTGAACACAAAAATGTATTTCTGTGTCAGATTCAATGAGGCTGCATTCCTGTACCAACTAGGGAAGGATGAGGGCATGTGCGTCTGCTGCATACAAGAGTATACTGTACTACATGTGTTTTGGTGTTACTATACCACCCAGTTTGTGATAGTCCTGGTCAAAGCAATTATATTTGTACTGAAGAATGAGACAAAACAAAGCTTGTGTCCACCCTCTTCAAGCTCAAACCACTCAGACTATCTATCTTATTTTGTCTTCCTTATCAGGATTTGGACACACCCATTACTCTTGCCTTTGTTAAGCTCCACAATGGGATCCCAGTACGTTAGCGAATTGACCAATATCCTTACTTCTGACCTTCACATTCCTTAATGGTCTTGCTCACTCCTTTCTAAATAATCTCATCCAACGCTATTCTCCAGTTTCATGCATTATGCCCTTCTGGTCTACGATGGTTCTTCACTTCCTGCTTCCCACTGGGGCTTAGCCTTTAGCCACAGCTGTCTGGATCTCTCGTAACCGTCTTTCCTCTTCCTTGGCTTCAAAGGCCTCTACAACAAACTTTTACTTTGTTTTCAACCAAACTCCTTTATTCTCCCATCTTTCTCCTAGCTTGGTACTACCTGTCAAATCCATCAAGTGGTTTGAGATGTTCATCCTACATGACAGGGCCTATATAAGTGCAAGTTGTATGTATGGTCCCAACTTTTACTGCTTTTCCCCAGTGAATAGAGAGACTTTACATTTTTCTTGAAGGTAATGCATCCAATGGTTAAATGTCCTGATTATCTGTACTGTCAGTATTGCTTGGCAAACATTGGAGGTTTCTATCAGTGTTGCACTTAGGATGCCTACCTTTAAAACAAGTCTCACAAGAGTGTGAGTTTGCTTATTGTAACAATGGTTGTCTGGGTTCTGGCACTAAAAATGCTTAGCAATTGTGGCTGAGCAGCCAGCTTCCTATGTGCATATGTAGGAATTGAGAAGTGATTGTCAACAGAAACCTGTTGAGCTTGAAGCAGGTCTGGCGACCTTTTTTGCGCAGAATGTTTTAACGCAGTGTTTAATTTTGTGAATCCAAAACACTTGAGTTTGCCCTGCACTTTGTGTTTCGCCCACAAATAAACGGTCAATTCACTTTACAGGATATTCTGTGAAGCGCTTTGAGATGTCTAGAAGATGTGAAAAGCGCAATATCAAATGCAGGGATTTATTACTGTTACTAGGCTGCTCAATCTGGTGAATAATATTATCAAGAGGTACTACTGTGTTAAAATGCATTTGTTTCTATTGTGTTACTGAATTTTCATCTTACCAGCTACATGTAAACAATGTAAATGGTGTGGCTAACATTTTACTCAGAAAGTATTTGGCTGCTTTATAGGCTTGAAGATATTCCTTCAATAAAATGATACGTAACAATGTTTTTTGTTTTTTATGGCTGAATTGTAAAGCAGCTTAGTTTACAGCTCGGTCTATGTCCTTCTTCAGGACCAATAATGATATCTTCAAAATTAGTTTTGGTTGCCTGAAGCAAACTAAAGTCTATTCCAATAACAGTAAAATTGTACAACTTTCTAAGGAAACTTGGGTAAATACTGCAGCTGATGCATTGTTTACTCTGGGATATTATCTGACAGCCTGGAAACTTTATACTATAGTTGAATTCCTGATCAGTCAAGATCATCAGTTTGTTTAATACATAGCTGTTTGGTTTTCTCATTGCTTGGAGACATACCATGAATTGGCAGCAGCACAATGTGATGGACATGTCAATTCAGGGGAGAAAAAGTTGTATCTTTTGCTAACTTTTCTGGCTCTGTGCCATCCTTGGGTGCATTAATCCCCGACTTCAGGCACTTGGCATTTTTAACTAATATGCAGTTGAGTCAGCCCTTTAAGTCACTTGCATACTGCAGGAGAAAAAATAGACAGTAATTTCATTGGGATTTGTTTCCTAAGAATTTGGGATTGAATTCTCAACTATTAGTTCTAAGTTCCAGTAATATCCTCATTGCTCTTCTCTGACTGCTTTTGCATTATTTATTATATCATGGAGTCCTGTAGCTCAGTGGTTAGAGCACTCGCTTTGCAAGTGAGAGACCTGAGTTCAATTCCAGGCAGGGCAAAACCTTGGGCAAGTTTCCTTACTCCACATGCCTAATAATAATCCCTCCAAAACCAAAAAACAATAATAAATTGGTCATTTTCAATCTACGACTGTTTGTGGAACATTGCTGTGTGCAATTGGCTGCCGCGTTCGCCCAGAAATATACAGTCAATTCACTTTACAGTGTGTTCTGTAAAGCGCTTTGGGACGTGAAAAGCGCTATATCAAATGGAAGGATTATTATTTATTATCATTTTGAAGGTAAAGTGCCCCAAACTGCATAAGGTCTTCTAAATGTGGCCTCACCAGTGATCTATACAACAGAAAATTTAATATGTTTTGATTAATGGTCAAATATCCTCAAGATAGTGTTTTATGAGCTGTCAGGGTTAACCTGCAGTCCATGACAGTATCAACCTGCATGGATGCACACTCTACTTTGCAGAACATAAGTATCGTGTTAGACTCCTAACTCTTTCAAACCCCTCATCCATTCTCTTTCCTGAAACATGTCTGCCTCTGCCATTATCTCTCCACTCAGTCCACCAAGACTCTCATCCATACCTTTATGACATCCAACTCTCTGCTCACCGGACTCCCCAGCTTTTCCCTCACTGAGTTGTAGACTATCCAGAACGTTACATCAGGGATGTCGCCGTTTGTCTGTGACCTCTCCTGCGAAAAGCCCAACAGACTGACTTCAAGGTCCTCGTTCTCATCCTTAAATCCCTTCACAGTCTCGAGCACCCAAACTCTGCGACCTCCAACTGATCTTGCCATTCCCTTTGCTCAGCGAGTTCCGGCCTTGTTTCTGACCCTCACCATCAGTGGGTGTTGTACAGCCATTCTGCTGCAGCTCGGCTCCCACCCCTGGCTTAGGTGCTCAACCTGCTGTGTGGGATGTTGGGTGAAAGGTGCTATATATAAATTGTAATGAGAGTTCTCTGGTCGTCAACCTATGCGTGATCATCAAACTGCTTGCTATGTCGAAGCTTCCACATTATTAAATATGTTTCAGCCTATGAGGGTGTTGAATTGTAATTTTGATGTTATGTGGTTTTGTGAAAAGGAAGATCTTGCGCCATTGTGCATTATTTTGCTTAAGAAAATGGTGTTGTATGACAGACTGATTTCTATTGGTTTATATAAACATTAAGTTAGATTTAAATGCATTGATCCTTGTAAATGTAGTGCTGATGAGTTCAACTCCAATTATATTGCAAAGCAATCTAAATCAATACAAATCTTGCGTAAAAAAAATTGAAAGCAATTTTATCATTATTGTACCAGGCAAAGTAAACGTAATAATGCTCACTTTTGCATTAGCATCAAAGCACCTCAAAGAGCTCGTAGATAATTGCTATCAAATTAGTAAATGTCAACCGTGCCTGTTTTATTTACAGCTGTTTTTATCCTGTCATCTCATGACATTTAATATTTCATAGTTAAATGTATAATCTAGGAGATCCATACGTTCTTCTTAAAAGGCTTCTTTTAAGGAAGTGCCTTTCTCCCTCTCTTTCAAAAATCTGTCCAAAAAGCTATCGCTTTAATTGTGCTTTCAGTCCCCTACCCTATCTCCCTCCCAGCTTGGGTTTTCCCTCTTTGTAAAGTGCTTTGAGACATTCTCCCTGATGAAAGGTACA